ATTTGATCATGTAGTGTCTTTCTCCATTCCCATTCATACATCAGAGTCACCGCTAATGGTTGACATGCTGGAACCTGTCGGAGCTGTCCCAGGACTGGAAGAAGCCCCGTGCAGCGGCTTCCCCTGAAGTGTTACCTGGTGACCAAGGCCACGTTCATACCTGTGCCCTTATTGCTAGGTGTGAATGAGGCCTTTGGACCAGAGTCATGAAGTGTCTCTGAGGCAGGTTGCGATCTGATCCCTCAAACCACCTTTGGAGGTGGACGGGGATGCATTTGACCGCATAACTTTTGTCTCTGACTGCAATGAATGACCACCTGAACAGCTGTGTCATCACAGCAGAGACAAAAAGTCTCTTCTGTCTTCATCTTTCTCATTTGATTAATAAGACTCCAATTCCCAGAACTCCTTGGATGTTCATGCGACTCCTCAACACACAACCAGTCCAAGATCAGCCTCGCCTGACTACTGACTACTCTCACCTGTTCGGTTTATCATGTGATCTGTTTAGTTAGCTGTATAACACCAGGCTTTAGCTTAGATCATTTTGCGAGGTACTGCTGCTGTTACTGGAGCTGCTGGGCATTTTATTGTTCATTCCGGTTTGGTTTCCTGTATATTGACCTTTGCCTGTTTATTACGACTCTGCCTTTCTGCCTTATGCCTTTGATTTTGTTATGATGGTGTTTTCCTGGTTTTGGATTGTTGTGGACTTGACCTTGGCCTGTTTTTTGACAGTGACTTTGGAACTCCCTCAAACTAGCAAAGCCTCTTCATTCAGTCTGTATCACTCTATCCTATTACATATGTGAACAACAGGACATTTGTCTGACAACAAATGCAGTGAGAGACAGACATAGTGAACTTGCGTGGTACCTTTCCTCCTGTCACAAATTCCAATCACAAGCAGAGATGCACTTGGAAAAATGCTATGTGTAAGCGGCGATATGTCTTGCTGTCCACTTATGACCAGATCACTCAAGACAGATGTTAATGACAAGTGTAAACAGGACCCAGTAGAGTGTTTTCATATCCCAGCAAGGTCACCCAGTCTGACAATCCCAATAGTATCCAACTGCAGAGCCGCTGCACCACAACTTTAGACCCCACACTTTCAGACCTGCACTTTCAGCTCCATGCGCCTCTGTTTTGGAACTGCAGCCACATTTTTGGCTCTCATTAGTGGATCAAACTTCTACTACACTCTCAGGAAAAAAAGGAATGAAACTGTCACTGGGGCAGTACGCCTCTTGTCACTGGGGTGGTACCCTCATGTTGTATTGATTCCACACACCCCGTCTCGTCTCCAGGCTTTTTATTTTATTGTTCTGTTTTAAAACGTTAGGTTATGAAACGGTACAAATATGTACTTTTCACTTTAGGAAAGCTTATATAAGGTGCACAGGTGGCCCTTAAAACCAGTGTTGTACCTTTGAAGGAAAATTTACGTTGTTTGTACCTTGATGAATGAAAAATGCACCTGCATAGTACAGTTATTACTAACAATGTACATTACTCTTATTAGACGAGATAAACCGTTTTAACAGAAAACTATTTGTATCTATGGTAACATTTTTAGTATACCAAAGTATATTTTGGTACTGCAGGCTGCTGTTAAGCATGCGCAGGTGTAAATTATTACTGCTCAATCTCAAATTGCTTCCTAGTCACTATATGTTGCACCCTGTAGGTCATAAAATGACTCCTACACCCAAATAGTACATTATATTTCAAACAGAAAGCCATTTATATTCATCCATTAACTGCACGACTCCTTATCTAACATTTAGAACAGTATTTGTGTGCAGAAATCATAATTTCCTGACCTATGCAGTGACCAATGTAGGGGGCCACTGGTAAATTCAGCTATAGTATTTGAGGGCTTCTAAAAATGTTATGCACTACCTTCCATACCCTCCGTGTAATAAAACACAAGTTACGGTAGCTACTAAGGCACTCGACCACTATGCACCATCGTATCCGGAGCTGAGAGTGTGGGTCCGACAGCCCGGGTCCGAGAGTATGGTTCTGTGGCTCTGCCGTTAGACCCTTCTTGACAGTCCACTTGTAGTGACCCCCCTTTAGCTCTGCTTGGCATTCTGCAGGATGAGACTATCTGTGCTGCCTATCTCCAAGTCCAGAGGGCACCACCAAGTTTTGACCTGTCACCCCTCATGTTCCAGAGGACAATGCCTACATCAACAGTACTGCTTAGTATCCTGGACAGTGTGACCATCCTATTGGCTGGCGTAAAGGCACTGCCTGCTTCCCCAGAGAGAAACTGAAGAGTGAACACTGTCACCCTGCTTAATTGACTCTAACATTAATAAGAATAGTAATCTGTATTGCGTTACAGTGAAAAAAGCTGCCCTTTCACCTCCACATGGTCTGTTAGTGCACGTTCTGGAGCCCCTGCTTCATTTACTTGTCAGACAGGCACAGCCCACCTCCAGCCATCACCACAAAGGTAGAAAATAAAAGTGAAGGTAATGAAAGTGTTGTTGACACTTATAACTGTTTCAGAGTTTATTTATAACTGCCTATTTCATCTGAATGAGTGATCATTGGGAGAGATTGCTGTCTCCCCTAATATTGTTTGAATTAACCTAAGGGCTTGATCTAATCTGTGCTCACAGATATCTGAGAAGAAATCTGATGAAACCTTGAAGTAGAATAATATTAAAAGCACTGTACTGCTGATTTTGATGCACAGTTTCCTTCTTATCCTACCATTTAATGGAGACCCACCGATTAAATGACATTTATTGCATATAATGGTTACAAATATGCCTGAGAAACTCAGACGACGTGTGTAGATCCACTGGCTGCTTTGGAATAGTAAATACAACGGCTGTATTTGTGTTGTAGACATCAAGAAATCTCTAGGCATGTATGTCACATAGTTTCTCTATCATGAACTAATTCATATGAAGTCTGGAGAGGCCATGAGGTAGTCATAATATCTGGATTGTTGTCATGAGATAACAAGTTAATTATCTTGTTATCTCAAGATAACAAAATTGTTATCTTGAAATAATGAGTTAATTATCTTGTTATCTTGAGATAACAAAGTTGTTGTCTTGAGATAATGAGTTCATTGTCTTATCTCAACATAACAGTTGTCTTGAAATAACAAGTTAATTATCTTGTTATCTCAAGATAACAAAGCTGTTTGCTACGGAGCCCAGCTGGTGACATCCTGTATAAATAAAAATAACGTGTGGCCATGACTTAGTAAGGCTTGGGAACAAGATAATTATGTCGTAGCCACGACTTAGTAAAGCATGGGAACAAAATTCTAATGCATGGCCACGACTTAGTAACCATGATCTCATTCCCACGCCTTACTAAGTAGTGGCGACACATTAGGATCTCGTTCCCACACATTAATAAGGCGTGGCCACGCATTATTTTTATTTATACAGGATGTTATTATCAGGGCTCTGTAGTTAGCTTGAAATAATGAGTTCATAATCTTGTGATCTCAAGATAAAATTGTTATCCTGAAATAATGAGTTAATTGTTATCTCGAGATAACAAAAGTTGTTGTTTTGAGATAACTAGTTAATTATCTTGTTATCTCAAGATAACAGCTGTTATCTTGAAATAACGTGTTTATTATCTTGTTATCGCAGACAACAAAGCTGTTATCGTGAAATAACAGCTTAAATAATAAATAATAGTTTAACTAAAATTAATAATAGTTAATTATCTTGCTATCTTGAGATGACAAAGTTGTTATCTTGAGATGAGTATTATCTTGTTATCGCAAAATAACAAAGCTGTTATCTTGAAATAACAAGGTAATTATCTTGCTATCTCGAGATGACAAAGTTATCTTGAGATCACAAGATAATCAACTTGTTATCTAAAAATAATGATCCAGAAATTTCTGCTGACAGCTCATGGCCTTTCCAGACATCCGTAAATTCACATCAATCCCCCCTGAATGACTCTGTTTACATCTTAATGGCTGAATTATGCAGAAATGTTGACAAATCTCCTGGTCAACTTCTAAATTAGCAAAAATGCAGGGTAGAAATCATTTGACCTGTGAAATCACCAGTTTCAAACATCCCATGCTAAGCCATAGAAAAGATGGATGGAAGATGTCATAACACACCTAACTGGCCTCATTATTTTAGCCGGATGGTCGTGTCTGGAATTTAAACATGAGTTCACAGGGAGCCTCCGCCACAAGCAAGGTGTGTCTGAGGACTTCATGCAGATTGTATCCAAATGTTTTCAGCATTGGCATAAAAAAGTGCTGCTCAGAGGAGGTGAATTGGCAGAATGTATCCCACCTCCTGCGCTACTAATACTCCATCTCCTGCAATATGGTGTCCAGGGTCCTGCACTAGGAATGGCTAATAGTATCTGGTCTACAAGACTGAATAGAATCAATCAATCAACGTTTATTTCAACTTGGAGTACATTGAGGGTGACCCTCATTTACAATGTAGCCAAGCCAGAAATCAGGGACTGAAGAAATAGGAGTAGTGAAAAAAAAATAGTTTGTAGAAACATAATTGAAAACAAATCAAAGCAAAAAAAAATGCAAAATTTAAAAGTAAAAAATGAATCAAATCAAAATAACCAGTAAAATTGTAAACATAAAATAACACAATAAATGACAAGTTAAATAGGGATGAAATAATAAAACATTGATAATAAAATAAACAAAAGAACAGAAAATGTAAAACAATAACTAAGCAATAACTGAAAAAGTAAATGTTGATCATAAAATAAAAAATAAATGAATAAATAAATAAATAGAAAGATCTCTGCTCTTGGTCTGTGATTGGCTAGCAGTATCTTACTCTCCTGCGTCATGTTTGGTCGTTAAGATCTCAGCTCCTGCGCGATGATTGGCTAGCAGACGACTTGCGGGTGTAAACTACTAGCCAATCACAGCGCAGGGGGCGGGGCTTGTCTGAATACGGGTGGGAAACGACCGTAGCCGCGGTAGAGAGAGTGAGGCGCGCTCTCGGAGGAGAGAGGAGAGCAGGCAGACTCGGTGCAGCATCCCGCCTCACAACATGGATTTGCTGTTCAGAACCAACTGCGGAATGATTACAGGACTTTCGCTGCTGCTCTGGTTCGTCCGCGCGTCGTCCAGCAAAGGTGAGGTCACGCCGCTTTCTCCCTCACTGTCCGAGTCCTGAAAAGGTTTATAGAAGGTTTGGAAAAGACGTCAGCAAGTTGTTTTTGAACTTTGCAGCTCGGCAGCCCGTCGTTTTCTTCATTAATGACGTTTTGAATCTTTTGCAGTTTAGCTTTATCCACGACAAAGCTTTAAAGTGTGTTTTGTATCAGCACATGTCTGAATTTGAAGCATTTCTGTGGAGGTGTGGATGAGGACTAATTCACTTGGCTACATTTTTTCGGTTTCTAGTAAGTTCTTTTAGCCGTGAAAATGAAGGCTGTGAGGAGAAAAAAACAGGAAAAGGCTTTCAGAATCTGAATTTGTGGGAAAAGAATCTGTACTCTAGATAAAAATGCTAATGTGTCATAGAATTGGCGCAGCTGGGCTCCAGGACCCCAGCGGAGAACCAGAGAGGGTGAGCGGGGAGGGTGAGGAACTGCTGCCCGCTCTGGAAGCTCTCCGGCCGGTTAGAGTTGGGGCAGAGCGCTGCTGCTCTTTTCCCTCTCCGCAGATCTCTGTTACAACGAAGTTCGTTGTTCTCGCCTCTCACGGCGAGAGCACTGGCACTGCATTAACACACACAGTGTCCAGTTAACTCATACGGTGGTCATTTGTGTCCAGTTGGACTTGGAATGAACACAGCAGACGTTAATTAGTCGAGTCAGTGCGGGACTAAAGGGGTTTGGCATTGTGTTCATCCGACACTGCAGGTGTGAAGGTAGTACTGCAAATGTTAATTCAACCCTGGACGTGTTCATTGAACAGTAATTCAACCCTGGAGGGGTTCATTCAATACTGTAGGGGTTAATTGAACCCTGTAGGTCGAAGTTGTAACTGTAAATGTTAAAGCAGGACTGTATGTGGTTCATTCAGCAGTGGATGTTCATGCTGGAGATGCTGTATATGTACATTTAAGCGTGTAGGACTCAGTTCAACACTGCTGATTTCAATACAGGACTGTAGGGGTGGTCGATATGGCAAAAAGATAACATTACGATACCTGACATTTTAAGAATATATGATATCCCATACTGTAAAATCTATCATTTTCAAATATATAGCATATATAGTATATCATATATGGATTTTCCTTATATATCCAACTTATATTTGTCACTTATGGACATATATGTGACATACATGCCAAATTATTTGGCCATTTTCAAATATGGGATATATATTTCCACCACATATACAAAAATATATATGATCGTCTTCTGATTGATTGATTGATTGATTAATTGATTGATCCTATTTGCCAATCAGTCAACCTGTATTTAAATTGGAGTACATTGAGGGTGACAATGCAGCCAAGCCAGACATCTGGGATTGAAAAAAAAGGAGCAGTGAAAACAATTATATTGTAGAAACATATCAAAACAATAAATAAATAAACAATAAATAAAGTAAAAATAATAATAGCAAAAGAGTAAAAAAATAATCCAATCAGAATACACCAATAAAATTGCACACATAAAATAACATAATAAATTATAAATTAAATAGGGATGAAATAATAGAACAATTGATCAGAAAATGAATTTAAAAAAATGGAAAATGGAAAACAGTAACTAAAAAAGATGCAGATTTTCCTTATATATACAACTTATATTTCTCACTTTTGGACATATATGTGATGTGCATGCCAACTTATTTGGCCATTTTTCAAATATGGGACATATATTTCAGCCATATATCAACATATACCAACATATATATGATCATAACATTATTCATCTGTGAATGACATATTACTCATATATGCTAGCTTCACATTATATAAGGTTTTTTTTGCACCTTTTTGTTGCTATATTATTAATCTCTAAAAATGCCTTGTAAGTTGTGCAATAAAATCATTAACACATGAAATAAACTGAAATATTGTTCCCTGACACATTAAAATAATTCAATATTCAAAATCAAACAGATAGTAGTATAACAATTATAACTATACTGGGATGGATTCAACCATGTATCAGACATAAATATATGATTCATATATTAAGCGCACACACACACACACACACATCTTCTATGCCACTTATCCTTCTGTGTCGCTGGAGCCTATCCCAGCAGTCATTGGGTGGAAGGCAAGACAGGTTTATATTAAGCATATATGACCCTTATTTAACCCACTATTGCACGATGTTGCCTCAGGGCAACAAACTCATTTTCCTCAATTTACAATAACATTATGCATATTTCAAGGCAACGATAGGATTAGCAATAAAGGGAAGAGCTTGAATAAGTCAATAAAAATCATGGACTTGGTCATTCTATCTCTTAGTGGGCATTTCTGTATATCTTTTTAAACATTCAGTGTCAAGTTTTTTTATTGTAAGAATTTGCAGAAATATGTTTGCCTAGAAGCAACATTGTGTGACAGAGGAATGGATTTAGCCAGTCACAAGCCAGGTCTCACCACTTCAGGGAACACGGCTCGATATCATTTCTTCCCACTGTCGCACAATGTTGCCTCGAGGCAATATACTCCAAAAGGACCCCTGCACACATTATTACTTTTAAATGTTTTTGAATTCAATAATCGGATACGAAAAAAAAAATCAAGGATCATTTTATGCAAGAAAAGTGAACTGATTGCTCTGTGAGGGTCCATGGGGGTCCTGACCACTGAAGAACAGGGTAAAAGGGGGCTAACAAAGTATCAGAGAAACAGATGGACTACAGTCTGTAACTGTAGAACTACAAAGTGCACCTATATAGTAAGTGGAGCTGATAAAATAGGCAATGAGCGTAGAAACAAGGAGGTGGTCATAATGTTATGCCTGATCGGTGTATTTACACAACATATGTGTATATATTCCTGACGTATTATGATATATGTCCAGATGTCTGTATGAGCTGCACCTTGACATTTACTTCTTTTGAGGTTTGATAAGTTGGTGTAACAAACAAGGACCACTTAAGCCACATTTACAAGTACAATCAAAAACACTGAATACATTATTTTAATTACTCGCTTACTATGCTGAACTAAATCTCATTAAACAGGATTATGCTCTTTTCGTGTCCTTTAAGTACTGATGACATCCATGATAAGCACAGAAAAGCGTACTGTGATGTAATATAATTTGTCATGATAATGATAAATGTCATGTACAGGACTGTATGTGTTAATTCAGCGCTGTAGATGTTAATGCAGACCTGCCCTCGTATCCGTGGTGTTTGGCTTTGGGTCAGTCCGTGCCGTACGCGCTGAGTCTTGAGCACTTCCTGTGCTGTATCCTCAGAGCATGTTAAATGCCCACGTCAGTCAGCGCTGTGAATGTGTGTGGTGGAGATGAGCTTCCAGCGTTTCGTTGCAGTGCCTCATCTGCTGCTCAGATGCAGCGTTTTCCCCCAGTATTGATTCTGAAAGTGAGAGAAGTGCATCTATCTAGAGCGCATTAAAGGAGGTGTTACGGTTATATATTATTGACATGAGGCTAACAGCTGCATGCAGATGTTTTATAGCTCTGCTTTTGTCTACTGAAGGGAAAAGGATTAGTAAACCTTATGTACAATACTGTGCAAAAGTCAGAGACCACCCCTCACATGTTTCATTTCCAGTCAAGATGGCCATTAAGTTGAAGTTGAAGTTGAAGTTATTCATTTTTCAGCATCAGGAAAAAAAGCAGAAAACATATATAACATATGTTTAAACAACTACAGTATAATACAATATTAGATTTTTCAATATTTAGTGTGTCCACCTTTTCTCTTCATAACAGCCTCCTTCCCTTTGGGAGACTTGCTTTCAGTTTTTCAGAGAAATCTGCTGGGATATTTTTCCAGACCCCCAAGGTTCAGTCTTAGAAGTTTGTTGCATTTTCTGATTCAGTAATTTTGAGGTCTGGACATTGAGATGGTCAGTCCATTGTTCTGAGCTTCTTTGTTTTCTTCTTTTTTTCATTTCCTTTTATCAGTAACAGCTTTTTAACAGCTACACATCCTTTCAGACCCAGTGTTGAGTCGTCTTCTCACAGTGGAAGGATGGACAGAAACACCTGAGGGTTTCTTCAGATCTGAGTGGAGCTTGATTTTCTCTTCTCTCTCAGAGATCAAAGCTTTAAGTGCTGTTTATCTGATGGTGACCGTTTTGGTGGTCTCCCAGGTCTTGCTTGGCTATGTGGAGGTCCATTTTTTTCTCTTTGACTTTCGACATTCTTATGAAAGTCAATTATCTTACATTTAATCTCAAAAATATCTCCTGAATAACTTGTTCATAATGTTTGTTTTGACTGGAAATGAAATAAATGTTCTTTGTCTTCTGCTCAGTTATGTCACAGTGTGCTTTCCTAGTCTTTAAAGAACATAAAGAGAGCATGATTATCTGAGTTCAAGTGAATTTAGTGCACGGCAGTATGTGAAACATTAAATAAATATTGTGTTTAAGGCGTTTGAATACAATAATTGTTTCGTTTTTGTCGGTTCCAACTTCAAAAAACTAATTTTGCCATATCGCCCACTCCTATATACAGTATTTCTGTTTAGGGAAGCTGTAATGAGATTCATCTGTGTTGTAATTGAAGCAGATGGCTCTGAACTTTGTAAGCCTCTGGCTGTCTTCAGCACACCCTTGGCTCCTATCTGGATCTGTCACACTGTGACAGATCAGTTTTTTTTCCCCATCGTTAAAAATCCACTTGGAATGAAATCACAAGCCGACAAGCTGCCGAGATCTTCAGCAGTCCTCTCTTTAATTCACCGCCTCTACAAAAGCGTTTCCCCTCTTTTTTTGGATTGCCCGAGGTGCTCTTGAGGCCAAAGAAGAAACAATACCTCGCATGGTCTCGGGTCAAGGCAGTCGAAATGAGCTGCTCAAGAGGATGAATCGCTCGTGGCACTTTAAATGAAAGTACTTGGAATGAAAGTGACCTCGCTAGGTTTTTTTCCAGGAGCCGTGTTGAAGATGCTAAGATATTCTGGTGATCATCGCCACGAGATTGTGGAGGGTGTCGGAAAGCAGGACACAGAA